GTTGATGTAAGAGACATAGATACCACATTGGGCTAAAATTTACACATCAACAGACAACTTTCTAGATGGTTCCTATTGAGATAAATAAAAATTTACTGTGCTCCCAAAGATTTTTTTTTTTTTTTTTTGTGAAAATGTCAGCACACTGGATGCACAGATTTTGGATGTAAGAATCACTGACACCTCCAATCAGGAGAATAAGAATCGTGAATATGCGTATCCATTTTATGATGAACTTTAAGTCATGGCAAGATTATAGCTTCTGGCTGGGTTAGTTATGCGATTGGATTTGTAAGGGGATTTACGATTGCCTTTGGCTTTGTTTGTCAGGTCTATTATGATCATCATGCCAGCTTCAGCTGTCTGTCCCTGACCAGGATATTGTTATAGTAATTTTTAATATGTGTGTATTAGGTTTTAATAAAATAGTAATAGCTCAAACACTCAAGGTTGGCAAGTTGGTTTATGATCATTTCCATCCCAGTGCTTTGCAGCGGTCTCACTTTTCCCAGTATATCACTTGTGAGCTGATTTTTTAAATTATTTTTTTCCCCTCCTCCCCAGACTAGACCTGCATCTCTCCGTAGATTTGCGTTGACTTTCTAGAAAAATCACATCCCTGATAAAGTGGCCAGGGAGTTGGTGTAGCTAGTAACAGTGACTAAGACGACATTTATATTTTCTTATAACTATGGATATACTAGTCTTTGTAAAGTAGACTTCTTTCCTGAATATAATGGTGTCCTCAAGAAAAATTCAGAGAACTGCTCCACAAAAGCCCAGCAGGTTTGAACTTGCAAGCACATACGCAGCGTGGCTTTGCCTCCTACAGATAAAGCACGTACTGGGTTGGTTTAAGAGGTTGTCTTGCATTTTTCTTGTATCAAAAATAGCAGGCCCATGTACAGTTGAAAACGTCAGACGTGCATTGGCTCTGCTGAGAGTACCAATTTCACACAAAGTCTTCTGTGGCTATAGCTGCAAGGGCAGTGTAAGTCCATTGTACTGCAGATCCACCATTGTGAAGCTATTATTGAGAGAGGCAAAACACTCGAACACACACACACACACACACACACACACACACACACACACACACACACACATTCAAGAAATAAGTGCTCTACAGCCCATCTTTAACACCTCAAGGTACGCAGTACTTTAATAACCATTTGACAGTCTCCACTGCCACTCAACACTAAGGCTGTAGGACTTTATGAAGATTAACATGTGTTATGAGATATGGTTGAGCTCTGCCTCACCTGCCCCCGTGGATGAGCTGCCGCTGATTGTAAGCTCATTAATGTTTAATAAAATCTACAAGCCTAGTCCGTTTGCCTATTTAAAGGTAGAAAAATGGAAATAATGGATACTTTTCTGAAAGGTGGTTCTACATAGCGGAACACGCACAGTTGTGTGTGTGTGTGTGTGTGTGCACGTGTGCAGAAGCACTCATCTCTCATGGCGGCCTTAATCAGTGCTCATCTCAGCAGTGCGAGGGAATGTGAACTATTTCAGAAGCAAACAATAGAAACACTTCTGCTTGGCGGTCGAATAATTCCACGTGATTTATATAAGTGAACTCTGTGAGGTGATTCTGTGAGGATTCGTATGCGAGTAAGTGAACTTTATGTGCAATATAAAGAAAAATCTCACCTACGCGTACATGATCCGAGGCATTTTTAAAGCTGGTATATCAACTGCACTTTACATAAATGAACTTTGAGGTTATGTGTGTGTGTGTGAGAACCAGTGAAATCAAAAATGAAGAAGAAATCTGATCTATTTATACATAATAACTGTAATTTCATAGTCCAACACATTGAATTCACATGGATGTCAATGGATTATTGAATACTGAGTGACAGAGATATGTCATATGCAAATGAGGAGCTGCAAAGGTCAGTGACAGTCTAATGACAGCCTTTCCTTTCATAAATTACAGATTAAAATCTCCTGAAGTTTGCAATCACAGGTAACACGTTTAATGAAAACTCCTTTCACAAATTCACTCTGACAGCAATTAAATGAGAAGCTTGTGTGCAATCAGAAGCCGATACATTACAAGATGCATCACTGAGAAGTTGCTCAGAAGGAGAGGACCTGGGTTTTTTTTTTTTTTGGTCACGAGTGCTGTGGAAATCCAAGTCTCTACAGCTTTGTTTTAGCTTTTATAATAAATTCCTGGAAGGCATAAACTGGAAAATACTGCAAAGTTAAGGTGTAGCCAGAACAGGAAATAAAGTAGAAGGAAAAGAATATCAAAATTAATATTTAAGTCTACTTAAAGTATCCAGTCTGGATTAATGATTAATCGGCCAGAATTGCTGTTTCAGAATCCTTGGTTTCAATTTCATTTATTAAAAAATCTCCCTTAAGTCATATCACACTGATTTCATGATGCCTTGATACTGCTTACCTAGCAAGAGTCATGTAGGCTTATAAATTCAGATGAGCCCATCACACTTGTATATCCATCAGCTGGGCCACCCTGTTAGTGCCGATGTTTGTACCATTTTTATATCTTCTCTCCTGTCTATTAACAGATATCAGAGACTCATGAGTAAAACAGCTGTTTAGCCATGTGGGCTTTCAGTTTTTTTGTGTGGTCTCTATGAACCAGTCCTGCATGCTTATGTTCAACCACCACTAACAAAAATGCTGCTGTTATTTCCTTAAATAAAAGTTCTTTATGTTTTAGTGAATTGGCAGAGATGGGTAGATTGGTAGTGTGACCATGGTCTAAAACCAAAGATAGAAATGGCACTTGCCTGATGGCTGCAGGGGTAAATCCAGCTCGTCATTCCGGTTGTCATTCTGGTTCATGTTATTTGATCCTGCGAGGGAAAGAAGTTCTGCACATAGCCTGTGGTGCAGTTAAAGTTTAGTGCTTTTGATTTCTGTTTTGAGTGTGTCTTGGAATCAAATTTATGTTTTTGTTGCGTTATTCCTGTTCACATTGGATTCTGTTCCAGGTCGCACTCAGGTCTAGAGTTTCGGATTTATAATATTTCAGTTTAACATTCATATAATCAATGCCAGGTGGTTATGGAACCCTCACGCAGGAGTCACGGTCAGATGGAAAGTTATGCGAAAGACAGGGAATGTTAGATTTTCCTTTGTGTAAACTATGTGTATAAGTGCATAGGACTCACTATTCCCTTTGGCAAGCAGATGGAGGGAAAGAAACTTTGAGACAGTGTGTAGAGATGCTTATCAGTTCCTTTTTCTTCTTGGTCCAGGACACACAAAGATTACTATGGCTTATAAGGGCAGGAAATAACTTTGCATCATATTTCTTGCATGTTTTTTTTGGTTAACTTGTCTTCACATAATTTGGTCTGTTAACTTGCAGGTTAACCGAAGGTCAGGGGTTCAAGCCCCAATACCGCCAAGCTGTCATTGTTGGGCAAGGCCCTTAACCCTCCCTGCTCCAGGGGCGCCATATCATGGCTGACCCTGCCCACTGACCCTAGCTTCCTGGGATATGCGAAGAAAAGTATTTCACTGTGCTGGGATATATATGTGACAAAGGCTTCTACTAATATTGTGTTTGTCCCCCTTGTGCCGCCATGCCTGTCGAGGCATGGACTCCACAAGACCTCTGAAGGTGTGCTGTGGTATCTGGCACCAAGACATTAGCAGCAGATCCTTTAACTCATGTAATTTGTGAGGTGGGGCGTCCATAGATCAGACTTTGTCCAGCATATCCCACAGATGCTTGATGCACCATCAGGGCAAGTGAGCCTTGGGCGTCCCTGACCCTGTCACCAGTACACTGGTCTCGTGGTCCTTCTTTGTACCACTTTTTGTAGGTACTAACCACTGCATACCTGTAAAAGCCCACAAGACCTGCCATTTTGGAGATGCTCTGACCCAGTCGTCTAGCCACCACAATTTTGCCCTTGTCAAAGTCGCTCAAATCCTTATGCTTACCTAAACTCTAGAGCCTGTTGTGTGTGTGAAAATCCCAGGAGATTAGCAGTCTCTGAAATATTCAGACCAATAACTGTGCCAGAGTCATTGTGATCACATTCTGGTGTTTGATGTATATGTTAACTGAAGCTCTTGACCTGCACGCTGCATGATTTTATGCGTTGGGCTGCTGTCAGGGGATTGACTGATTGGATAATTGCATGAATGTTCCTAATAAAGTGGCCAGTGAGTGTATATAAGGTATATAAGTATATACACTTGGTAGAACTGTCTTTAAAATAATTTTTTTTCTTTAAATACATTCTAAATACACATGCACACCTACACACATGCCTGCCTTTCTTTTTGTTCCAGTCCAGTGGATTCTGTTCTCTCGACCGCTACCTGCTTCCACCCCACCAGTTATACCCCAAACTCAGATATAATTGCTACCCTTAAGCCACATCTAATCTAATTGCCTAGAAGCAAGTCGAGCCTGAGAGGAGAGTGAGTGACAAGCCTTTGAGGAGGAGCATATTTCAAAGTTCATCACTGGACCCCTGGGCTTTAGGGAGCTCATCTAAGGACAGCAAAGGAGAAAGAGAGAGGATGGAGGATTAAAGAAAAATGGGAAGGACTGTGCAAGGTAGAGCAGGGAAAGGGTGTGGGTGTGTGTGAGAGATGGAGATGGGGAGAGTGAGAGAGATATACATATGATAGAAGTGCCTAGGTGAAATCCCTGCAGAGTCCTCTTGGTTGGCCAGAAAGCTAATACAGCGTTCCTAGCGCATTTGATTGTCACCTAAGAACGGAGAGAGCTCATGCATCTCTATCAGACCTCAGATCTCACGGAGCTCCGATCTCTTTCTCTTAGGACGTCACAGCTCATGTGGCCTGCTGGGTTGTGAATACATTCTGGAAGTTGGAAATGAAGCTTGCGAATTGAAATGTGACTTAGTATGTAACTTGAAGTAAAGTTATCGTAAGTGCATCGTGTCAGTCATTAATTCAAGAATACGTCACATGCAGTGATGCACATGCAGGGGCAGTGGTGGCTCAGTGGTTAAGGCTCTGGGTTACTGAACAGAAGGCTGGGGGTTCAAGTCCCAGCACCGCCAAGCTGCCACAGTTGGGCCCTTGAGCAAGACCCTTAACCATTTCTGCTCCAGGGGTGCCGTATCATGGCTGACCCTGCGCTCTGACCCCAGCTTCCTAACAAGTTGGGATATGTGAAGAAAAGAGTTGCACTCTGCTGTAATGTCTATGTGACAAATAAAGGCTTCATAATCATTAAAGGAAAGCTCTCTCTCTCTCATATGTATGTGTATGTGTGTGTGTATATATATATAATATTTACATATCTGATTTATTGGTTGGTGCCTTTTTTTTTTTTTATATATAAGAAGTTAGTGGTCGTCTGCCATATTGTCACACAGCAATGTGAAGTCACACATTGCTAGTGCCGTTACAATGGCATTTAATAGGAGAAGAAATTTCAACGATCTCAAACGTTCAGAAAGTGATGCTGGACAGACTAAAAGATTAAAGCACTGCTGCATCTTTAGGTAGGCAGTGCTCAGACGTGATGGGATGTGTTGCTGCCTTGCACCTAGTGTTCCCGGGATAGACTCCAGACTCTGTGTGTCCCTGCCCATGATAAAGTGCTTACTCAAGATGAAAAGAATGAACATGTGGGAAAATTATGTTGGTACTCAGTAAATAGCAAGACAGCAAGTGGTATAAAGTGTGTTTTATTTCCTTATTCAACTCCAGCCTTTGATTACTTTGTGTGTGTGTGCGCGAGTGCGTTGGTGCCAGAGTTTGATTAGGCGACCATGCAGATAAACCCTTCAGAGTGATTGCAGCCCCTTTCATTTGATTTCATCACGTCGCTGCTTCTCATGCTTTTTTCTCCATCTCTCTGTGAAAGTCCTCCCTCGTTCCTCTTTGTCTCCGCTTGGATGATTAATCACAGAGAGATGGGAAGTGAAAGCTGGCAGAGGGAACAGAGGCACTGATTGCTTTGATTCAGGTGTGTCGACTGTGATATGGAGACCATGACAGGTGGTAGGGACATGACTGGCAGTTTTTTTGGTAATTAGATGAAGGTGTTGGTTCTGTGTCACTGCCTTGACCAACCCTCTTGATGTTTTTATGCACGTTTACACACTGCTGCAGAGTTTAGAACCATTAGTCTTTTTTTTTTATGTATGGTATAAGCACTTGCATGAAGGCCAGGGCTTTGCATATATGAGCAGGAAATTGATTGACAAGAAGCTGAACCAGTTCTTGGGTAACATACACACAGTAAACATTTCACACTGCCGGCACTCCTCCTTGGAACAACTTTAGTTAATCACCACGGAGAAGCTGAGCTGAAAGGTGAGGCCTCTAGCATTTACAGGAGTAGTTATAATAATGGAAACTCCGCAGGTGTTCTGTAGTGTGACAGTTTTAATTGCATTTGCGCCTGAAGTGTGTGAGGAGGGAAAGGGAAAAAGGGGGCGCGTCTGGAAATGAACTGTTTAGTGATGTTGTGTAGGTAATCAAACCTGCGAGTGCTGATGTTGCATGAGGGTTTGTAAGAAAGGAGTTTGGTGACACTGAGCAAGTAAGGGAGCAGCTTGGGACCGGTAAAAGTTTGCTTGGAATTTGAAATACAAGAAGAAAAAAGTAGAGTCCAGATCCTGGTGACACACTGCAGAGAAATATGTGTATTGGTCTGTGAAAACCCATCAGATGCCACTGTGGCTGAATTCTGGAATGGCTACAAAGCTGTTTTTTTTCCTGCCTATAACATAATTTGATACCTCATTGCAGAGAAAAGCTTAAACGTGCTTTGTTTCCCACAGTATATATCAGGCTTTGATTAAGTTTTGAATAGCTGGTGTGCCATAGCAAAATGGAGATAAGATAAATCCGTTCAGGTTGTACTCAGATACTGGCTGTTAAAATGTCTGTGATGCTCCTGCTTCACAGTTTGAATGGAATGTTTGAATGCAGTTTTCTCTCTTTTCACTTTTCGGGAGAGCCAGATTTTAAAATGCTAAAAGTTATATATGCTATATAATGGAAAATGTCTGAATCTGACCATGTGAAGGGTTTTCCTGGAGCACCACATAAATAATAAAGATCTTTCAGTTGTTCTGGGAATGCTATTGTGTGTGCTTTGAACAGTAGTGGCATTCATTGAGGAAGGAAACTTTTCCCCCTTAAAAATCTAATCAATATATTTGATGTCTTTGAAAAGCATGGTAGATAAAAAAAAAAAAAAGCAAGTTCGTTAAATTTGGTTACATTTGCCTCCTTTATTAACTAATTTAAAATGAGTTTACCCTTTAGTATTTTGAGTACATTTTGTTTTGTTTCTTCGTTTTCAGAGGTACAACGACTATTTTTCTTAAGCTATGTAGGTTTGACTTGCTACACTCCCTGCTGTTGCTGTCTAAGAAAAAAAAATGATTTAAGGTGTTGCTAAATGTGCAGCATTCATAAATAAAAACATTTTTTTTTTGCAAGTGTCAGTCCTAACCAGTAGCATGCTACATTCTACACTCGCAAATAAGACTGTGTAGCTTCAGCATTTCCCTGCTGTGCACACTGAGCACTTTCATGAAGTTTAGAATTATCGCAATTACCGTTACAGTAGAGCTACATGCTGAAATAGTCCCAACAGCAGATGGATTTTAAGAACCTTGACTTGATAATGTTACTGCTTGAGTATTCTGTTTTGTGTGTTCAGCTTGAAAGCACCTCGTTGTTGCTCTACCCGGAGTAATAATTTTGCCACTGGCATGATCGCTGTTGAACCGCTGCTTATTCATTAGAAAATATGACTGTGTATAATCATACATAACATTCATAACCATGAACTGGAGTACCCATGGGGAGAACATGCAAACTCCACACACAGGGCGGAGGCAGGATTCGAACCCACAACCCCAGAGGTGAGAGGCAACAGTGCTAACCACTGAGCTTCCCCCAGTATACATTACCCTAGTATATAAATATGAGCTTGCACTCATGTAAAATCCCTTTGTCATCCATTACTATGGGGGGGAAAAAAAAAAAACAAATAACTTTCTACACCAAAGAGACAGATGTTTGTTGAACTGCACAAGTCAGATAATGGATATTAGTTGGGGAAGGAGGGAAATAAAAAGTTTCCGAATGCAGCGCCTAAAACTCTCCATCATTATGACTGTAATTGGCATTGTGTGTTGTACCCAGATGAGACCAAGTTCAGCATGTTTGGCGACAACGTGGGATCTGATTCAAGGAAAAACCCCTGATGTCCCACTGTAAAATATGCAGGCTGGTCAGTGATGCTTTGGGCTGTTTTGTGACTGAGATGATAACGAGATGATGATCTTCTGCCAGTGTTTAATTTGACATGGCATCACCCATATTCATTTTTGTTTATTTATATGAAGGGTGCCAGTAGTCCCTGGAGGACTAATTGTTTAGGCCACAGTGCTCTCACTGCTGAGGCCTGGGTTTGATTTCCGGCCAGGGAACTGACCCCAGCCACTGGGGTTGCGTGCAACAGTGCGCTCTCAGTGCCAGTCCCAAGCCGAAAGAGGAACAGCAATATGAAGGGTGCCAGTAAAGGAATGAAGGGCACTGTATATAGCTCTATGGTGGTGCTGATTTCATTAAAACACAATCCATGGGAATCTAGTGATTTCTGTAGGATTTAGCATCAGATGAAAAATAAGCAACAGGAATGTCAAACAGCTCTGCAGTCCACTTGTGTGTGATCTCATCTAGTTTGGGTTTCAAATGTCTGTAATGCTGCTAAATGAAATCAATAAATTTTTTGTTTCATGGTGTAATGTTGCACTAGGAGTCAGCAAGACTAATTAGTTTTGTCATAGCCATATGTGTTATAGCATAAGTGTTCTCCCAGGAACCATATACTCTCTCTCTCTCTCTCTGTCTGTCTGTCTGTCTGTCTGTCTGTCTGTCTCTCTCTCTCTCTCTCTCTCTCTCTCTCTCTCTCTCTCTCTCTCTCTCTCTCTTTCTCTCTCTCTGTCTATCTCTGTGTGTGTGTGTGTGTTGTCAGTCTGGCAGTTTTTGGATTGTGGATTGTTATTTCAGGGCTTGGTCAGTCTCTTGGGCTCAGGTGGAGACATTTTGTCTTGCTGCTGCACTTTGTTTCCAAACTACACTCCTTACTTTAGGATACATTGGATAATGGCATAATGCTTACATTAATTCTTTTTTGCAGTGATTATTTATTTATTTATTTATTTATTTATTTATTTATTTATTTAAACTGAACGGCCTAAACATGTAGCTGAATGGCTCAGGGTTAAGGCTCGCTCTTAAAGGTTATCTGGTAGCTCTAGGATTTGAGCACACCGGCTTTCGGTCACTTGAACACTGAGCTACCACATGCACAGACTGAGATCAGTGGAGAAACAAGACCATACACACCAGATGAATAGCACTTCTACATCCTCCTACAGACTGTTACGTCTTCTCTGCCTTCCTCAAATATGTAAACACACAGACAAGGTGGGAACAAAGCGCAAGGGACCTCAGGCAACTTTTATGTGGCTCTCCCACTCCCTCCTGTGACTGTCTTTGAGGTCTGCTATATTAGACCACACACACACACACGGGAACAAATTGCCCCATGTTCCATGTCCACCTAGCTGTCAGGTAAAACATCTCCCAGTGCTGATGCATTAGATGAAGCTATGTGTATTCATTTATGCCATAATAAACCCTCCATTATGGAGAGTGTTCACTGTTTGACAGCTGTCTAGTCTGCCTTTGACAGAACACAGACAGCTTCATTAATCTGTCTCCGCTACACAGACATTTGCTGATTTGACAAGATGAACCTTGCATTTAACTGGTAAGTCATCGATATGGCCAGTCAGGAATTCAGACAGTATTCCAACTATGGCTCTTATACCCAATTCCCCTCAGACATGGAGCCCTGTAGAGTCATCGCAAAGCGGGTTGAAAAGCAGTTGAATAAGGTGTGGAAGTATGAACAAAGTCTCCGTGTTGGAGCGTTAGCTCCTTCAAACGGATATGAACTAGTTTTGTAGTTTTTTTCATGAATCCTACTTATATAAATAAATATTGTTTCTCTGAAAACAAA